AGCCCAAACCATTTATTATATTGAGTCCATAAACTGGTCAGATATCATGGAAAACCAATGAATAAAAACCACTGCCTCATCAAAAAGGATTTACATACTATTTATGGGAGAGACCTACACAAACAATTCCTATACCATTCTCAAAAAACAAGTTGGGAGCCAAGCACAGTGGCACACACCTATAATCTCAGAGGCTTGGGAGGTTAAGGCAGGAGGATCAAGTATTCAAAGCCAGCTTCAGCAATAGTGAGGTGCTAAGGAACTCGGTGAGACCCTGTGTCTAAATAAAATAGAAAATAGAGCTGCTGAGATGTGGCTCAATGGCTAAGTTCCCCTGAGTTCAATCCCCAGTACAAAAAAAAAGTTTGGTCCTACACAAACACAAAAGTGAATCTAAGCTGCATGGCATTACTTTTAAGCTTTTTTAATTATTAGAATTGGGGTGGGGGGGGCGGCGCAGGGATTGAACCTGGGACACTTTACTATTGAGCTACATCCTCAGCCTTCTTAATTTTTTTTTTTGATTTTGAAATACTGTCTCACTACATTGTCCACATTGGACTCAAACTTGCAATTATCCTGCTTTAGCTTCCTAGTCCATGGTATTACAGGGACTAAGTTGCTGAGGCTTAGGACTATTTTTTAAAAATAAATATTGCTTAATATCTCTAAAGTAGTAATGAAAGACCTAGAACTTCCTTGATCCACTGTCCCCTTAACTTATAAGATGTGTTTGAAGCATTGTTTGAAAATCACTATGGTTTTGTCTTTCTTCAATCTACCTGCAATGGATTTTTATGTATGGCTTAAAGTAGGGCTCTAATTTCAATTTTTTTCCATATCAATACCCAATAGTCTCAGAATCACTTATAGAAAAGTCACTCCTTTCCCCTATGCTCTGTAGGAGTACTTCCAATAACAAGTTTCTAGATACATATGGGACTGAATTTGGATTCTCTATACTTTTACACTGGTTTATCACTGTGCTAATATCAAACTGTCTGAATTACTAAGTTTTATGTGTAATAAATTGGATATTTTATATATAAAGTTCTCTCTTTGACCTGTTTCTTCAAAATTGTGTTGGCTGGTCTTTAACATTTCCATATATTTTAGATAAGACATGCAACTTTTTTGCTTTGTTGTTTTGGTTTTTTTGGTACAGAGGATTGAACCCAGTGGTGCTTAACCACTGGGGCACATCCCCAGCCCTTTTTTAATTTTATTTGGAGACACAGTCTCACTGAGTTGCTTGGCGCCTGGCCATTGCTGAGGCTGGCTTTGAATTCGCAATCTTCTTGCCTCAACCTCCCGTGCTACTGGGATGACAGGCATGTGCCACTGCGCAAAGCAAGACATGCTAATTTGAGTTCTGTAATTTTTAAATAAACCAGTAAAATAACTACAGAATAAGCCTATATTAGTAATTATCAACTGCAGCAATTTAAATATCACCACTCCCTACACTTTGGGATACTAAATAATGTCTGTACACATTTTTGGTTGTCACAAAAATGGGAAGGGAGGTAAGGGTATAGTTCAGTGATAGAGTGCATGTGTGAAGCCTTGGGTTCAATCCACAAAACCAAACGGGGTGGGGAAATGCTAGGAAGGGTGCTACTGTCATCTAACATGTAGAAGGCCAGGGATATTGCTAAATATCTCACAATGCATGGGCAGATGCCATAAAAAAGAATTATCACACTCCAAAAGTTAACAGTACCACTATTATGCACTGTGCCATCAAGAAGCAAATTTGCACAGGCTCATTAAACATTTAAGAATTGTTTACTAAAAACAATAATTTAGCCTGGCATGGTGGCACATGCCTGTAATCCCAGCATTTCAAGAGGCTAAGGCAGGAGGATCACAAATTCTAGGCTAGCCTCAGCAACTTAGCAACACCCTGTCTCAAAAGAAAACTAAATAGGGCTAAGAATGTGTCTCAGTGATTGAAGCGCCTCTGGGTTCAATCAATCCCTAGTATCCTTCCCCACCCCGCCCCCTCAAAACAACCAATTTTACAAAAATTGATCTGCCATCCAGCAAATAAAAGTAACCCTGCCAGATGTGGTGGTATGAACCCACAGTATCAGATATTCAGGAAACAAAGGCACAAAAATTGTAAAGTTTGAGATCAGCACAGGCAACTTAGCAAGACCCTGTCTCAAAATTTTTAAAGATTTTAAAAAGAGCTAGAAATGTAGCTCAGTGGTTGAGGCCCTGGGTTAAACCTCCAATACTGCACAAAAACAAACAAAAACAAAATTAGGTAACCCCAATTCATAAAAACAAAAATCATATTATCATTACACATAAAATGACTCATCTTCCTACTCTTCATAGTGGGACAGTTCACAAGAAGCTTATCAAAGGGGTTAAATCTTTGAGATGCACACTTTAAAAAGCAAGATACCAGTATCTCCCAAAAATATTAAAAAGAAAAAGAAATTCCTAGAAATCAGAAGAAAAAAAAATAGATAAATTGGCAAACAACTTGAACTTGAACAGGCAATTCACTAAAGAAGATATTAAAAGATGAACAAACAGAAGAAAATGTACATCAGTCACTAGACAAATACCAATTAAAAATCAGGGCCAACTGGGGCATGCCTACAATTACAGATAACTCTAGATACTGAGGCAACTTAGAGGCCAGCTAGCCTCGGCAACATAGTCAGACCCTGTCTCAAAAGTGAAGTAAAAAGGGTTGGGGATATACTTCAGTAGTGTAGAGTGCTTGCCTAACATCATATGAAGCCCTGTGTTGAACCACTAGTACAGAAAAAAATTAAAGAACCTCAGCACTGGGATTAGGGTTGGCCCAGGGTTTGATCCTCAACACCAGAGAAAATGAAACAAAACAAAAAATTTCAATGAGAACACCACATATGCACAAGAATGGCTAAAATTTTTAAAAACTGGAAATATCAAGTGCTAACAAGAATGATGATTTTCAGGGCTGGAGTTATAACTCAGTGGTAGAGCACTTGCCAGGAATGTGTGAGGCACTGGGTTCAATTCTCAGCACCCCATATAAATAAATAAAATAAAGGTCTATGAAAAACCAAAAAATAAATAAATAAAAGAATGATGAAAGATTTTCATATACAGTCATACCTTGGAGATATTATGAGTTCAATTTCAGACCATCTGAATAAAGCAAATATTGCAATATAGTGTCACATGAATTTTTTTTCTAGTATATACAGAAGTTATGTTTAGCCAGATATGGTAGTATATTTTTTCCTAGTATATATAGAAGTTAAGTTTAGCCAGATATGGTAGTGTATGCCTGTGAACCCAGCAACTAGGGGGCTAATGGAGGTAAGAGCATAAGTTCAAGGCCAGCCTCAGCAATTTAGCTGAGGCCCTAAGCAACTCAGAAAAGCTTGGGGATGTGGTTCAGTGGTTAAGTGCCCCAGGACTAAATTCCCAGTACCAAGAAAAGAAAGAAAGAAAGAAAGAAAAAAGCAATGTTTATACAATACTATAATACTATAGTCTATTAAGGCTACAATAGCACTGTCAGAAAAAACATATATACCTTAATTTAAACACACCTTATTTTATGCTGAGCACAGTGGCATACACCTGTAATCCCAGCGGCCCGGAAGATTGAGGCAGGAGGATTGTGAGTTCAAAGCCAGCCTCAGCAATGGCGAGAGACTAAGCAACTCAGTGAGACCCTATCTCTAAGTAAAATATAAAAAAGCACCAGCAATGTGGCTCAATGGCTACGTGCCCCTGAGTTCAATGCCTGGTACCCTCGATCCAAAAAAAACCTTATTGTTAAAGAATTCTAATAATTATCTGAGCCGTCAAAAAAATACCATCAACACTTTTTCAATGCCACAGAATTTCATTTTGTAAAAAAATAAAAAACAAAAATACCACAGTATCTGCAAAGCATAATAAAGTGTGATATGAATGTACTGAGAACAGGTGTAGTGGTAGGAACACATAAATTGGTTCAACCACTTTGGAAAATTTTGGCAGTATCTACTATAGTTGAATATACATAAAAAGAGACCAGCAATTCCATTCTTAAGTATGTATCTAACAGAAAATACTTATTTGCACCAGTATGAAAAAGAGTATTCATAATTACGTTAAACAAAAGCAGAAACAATCCAATTGTCTAATGAACATAAAATAGATTAATAAATTCTGGTAATGTTCACACAAGAAAATAATATACTAAAACAAGAATTATGACCATATGTAAGAGCATGGATGACTCTCGCAAATACAGGTGAAGCAAAAGCAGACACTATAGAACATATATAATTCCATTTCTAAAAAGAGGCAAAATTCATCATTTCTGACAGAAGGCAGAATAAGTCACCTATGGAGAGAAGGCATAGTGCCCAAAAAAGAACAGGAGAGCCTATGAGGTGTGGGTAATGTCTTTTTTTTTTTTTAATCTAAGTGACAGTTACATGAGTATATATTCACTTTGTGAAAATTCAAGCTATATACTAAAGATTTGCACTTAACTGTATTTAGGTTATATCCTGTCAAAGAATATACTTACAAAGAGGGTATTAGAACACAACCCAGATTTACCCTATTTGGACAATTCTCAATAATCCTGACTAACAGTAGTCAAAAGCAGAAATATTTAATATTTTTAAAAATTTTATGGTAGTGTTACTATATTTCTCTTACTCTAATAAGAACTATTTAAGGGAGGCTGTAGTTGTAGCTCAGTGGTAGAATGCGTGCCTAGCATGCGTGAGGCACTGGGTTCGATCCTCAATGCCACATAAAAATAAATAAAAAAAATAATGTGCCCATCTATAGCTAAAAATTTTTTTTAAAAAAAGAACAATTTAAGGACCATACATAAAACATATCTGATTCTTACATAGAACAGAAGGCAGGCAAATTTATCAAGAATGAATAATGAGACTAAACAGATTGTGTCTTAGGATACAAACACTATGTTTTATAAAAAGTTTGGCATATAATTAACAATACTGACTACAAATGATATCAATTTCTAATCTTTTTACAAGACCATATCAATTTCTAATCTTTTACTTTCCCTTAGATTCATCAAAAAACAATGTAAGCCAGCAAAATGTCTCAAAGGACTAAGCCAAACCAAGAATTGAAAAAGGCCAAAGTTATTTTAAAATAATTCTAGCTGGGTGTAAAATTTAGTGGTGAAGCACATGCTTAGTACGCACGAGGCCCTAGGTTTCATCCCTAGCACCAAACATAAATAAATAAATAAATCCATAAAAATTATGTAGAGATACATAATTAATCATACTAACTAAATTAAGCCTCATATCAGTAATAATTAAGGCTCCAATTACAAATAACCAGCAGACACAAGAGAAATACAATTTACCTTGACAAGTTGATGAACTGCCATTTCTTTCAGAAGGTGGTGTGCTTGGACTATTGAAATGAGGTGAAGTTCCTTGGTTCAGGTCTCTGTGTGTGAAATTCTTTGAATGGCATGTACAACAACATGACAATGGTACTTCAGTTTTTTTACTTAAGCTTTCATCCACTGGCTTCCCTAAAAATCAAAGAACCTTCATATGTAACATATCTAATTAAATAAATATTACTCTTTCTCTGCAGCTAGGGGGAGCAACCACTTCAGTCCACCCAGGATTGGAAGATTTCACAGGATACAAATTTTTAGGGCAAAAACCAGGAAAATACTAGACCTGGCAAACCTGGACAAGCTAGTCATACTATCTATAGCATTGAATTATGACAGGAGAGAAATGCTTATGTCAGGGTATTTATAGAGAAGTTACCATCAATTTCTATAATCGACAAAAATCTAAGAACAAATATTAATAATATAATAAAAGCACAACTAAAATGTTCACTAATACTGAAATTTATTTTAAAAATCCAGCAGGGAAGGAATAAAACAAAGACCTAAAGCATATTCTCTCTTTTCTTCTTTTTCGAATTGTTGCAATCAAGATCTCTTGGTCACTCCAAGTGTTGTGGTCACTTTTCTTTCATCCCAGATGTATTCATTACTCATCTTGAATTATATAATCTTTGAAAATTATATAATCTTCAAAAGAATATTATAACATTTTCATAAAAGTAAATATTAATAAGCATTTTGTTTGCAAATAAAGTAAAATAGGAAATACTATGAATTTATAAAAATAATACAATAAACCTCTGCTCATCTAATATCCAAACAAGTAGTTAGATCAACTAGAATTGTTTTTATGTATTCCATGTTCTAATGTTACGAAAGTCAGATAAGCAAATATATTAGAGGATCTACTCAAAAAACCCAACAATATTAGAATTATGACAGCTTCATCCCTTGCATTTTTTACAAGCCAATTATCAACAAATTATTTTCACAATGACTCTAGGCATCCAAAATACTCATGTAATCTTTTTCTTTTTCTTTTTGTGGTGCTGGGGATTGAACCCATGGCCTTGTGCATGCATGGCAAGCACTCTACCAACTGAGCTATATTCCTAGCCCTTATGTACTATAATCATCAAATAAAAGGACAAATTATATTCTTTTAGGATTAAACATATTTTTCTATATCAAAACTATTTTGAAAGATATAGAACTTATTATAAAAAAAAAAACTAAGGAGCTGGGGATGTGGCTCAGTTGGTAGAGTGCTTACCTCACATGCACAAGGCCCTGGGTTCAATCCCAAGCACCACACACACACACACAAAAAAAAAAAAAAAGGAAAGAAACACCTTAATAGAGATTGTTTAAATTACCTAGAACATGGCTGACTCAGTCTGAATATAGTACTTTATCATATATTTTTCAGATCTCAATAAGCAACCTGAAGATATCAAGCAATTACTTACCATTAAGAGATTGTTGCCATGCTAAAGCAGAACAAAGTAAGGCTAAGCTTTTTCCACTTCCTGTGGGGCTCTCCAACAAACAATGTTGACTACCATTTAATCCTCTGACAATCTACAGATAAAGAAACCAATAAAAAGTCAATAAACAGAGCTAGGGATATAGCTCAGTTAGTAGAGTGCTTATCTCAAATGCACAAGGCCTTGGATTCAATCCCCAGAACCACAAAAAAAAAAAGAAAAAGAAAAAGAAAAAAGTCAATAAACATTTTACTTTATTAGGTTTCTCTATCAGAAGTACAAATAAACAGCAAGAAGAATTCCATGGCACATAAGAATAGCACAAGGAAGAACCAATATTTAATTAAAACTAGACTTTATTCCTTTATACCTCTCCCTAAAATTATTTTGGATTTATAAGCATACCAAGCACAACAGAAGAAATGAAAAAAGCAATTTATCCTTCAATTATACAAGCACCAATCATTTCTATAAAATTAAAATACATTAGTACCTATGAATATCTTTGATGAAAATAATGGAAGATACTGTTATACAAAGTGTTACAACCACTTTGTAAAAAAAAATTAACACTTTGTAGTAAAGTTGAAGATGCCAAAATCCAGTCCTATTATATAACCCAAACCTTTTCTATATGAACACATAAAAGTTCATAGCAGTATTGCTTGCTTATTGCAAAAGAATGTAAACAACCTAAATGCCCATAGGAAAATGGAGAGATAAATTCTAATATATTTATGTAATGAAATGCCATGCCATAATTAAAATAAATTAACAATCAACAGAGCTACATCTTATAAAAACTCTGGGCTAGGGATATAGCTTAATGGTAGAGTGCTTTTCCAATATGTGTGAAGTCTTCGGACTGATCCCCAGCACTGCAAAAAATAAAAAGTTCTACAGAAAAATCAAAGTTTAAAACTGCTGGGCACAAGTACATACCTATAATCTCAGCAATTCATAAAGCTGAGCTAGGAGGATTGCACATTAGAGGACAGCATGGTCAATTTAATAAGACCCTGTCTCAAAATTTAAAAAAGCACTAGAGGAGGCTGGGATTTTAGCTCAGTAGTAGAGTGCTTGCCTTGCACGTGTGAGGCACTGGGTTCAATCCTCAGCACTGCATAAAAATAAAGAAAGTAAAGGTATTGTGTTCATCTGCAACTAAAAAAAATATTTAAAAAAGAAAAAAAAAAGCACTGGAGGGCTGGAGTTGTAGTTCAGTGGTGGAGGGCTAGAGTCGTAGCTCAGTGGTGGAGCAATTGCCTTGTGGGGCACTGGATTCAATTCTAAGCACTGCATATAAATAAGTAAAATAAATAAATAAAATAAAATAAAGGTCCATCAACAACTAAAAAAATGTTTAAAAAAGCACTGGAGAGAGGCTGGGGTTGTGGCCCAGTGGTGGAGTACTTACCTAGAACATGCGGGGCTCTGGGTTCGATCCTTAGTACCACATAGAAATAGATAAATAAAAATGCAGGCATTGTGTCCAACTACAACTAAAAAATATTTTTTAAAAAAAGCACTGGAGGGGTTGGGGTTATGGCTCATCGGTAGAGCGCTCGCCTTACACATGCAAGGGGCCGGGGTTGATCCTCAGCACCATATAAAATAAATAAATAAATAAATAAATAAAATAAAGGTATTGTGTCCAACTACCAAAAAATAAATATTAAAAAAAAAGGCACTGGAGATATATCTCAGTGGTAGAACACCAATGAGTTCAATCCCCACTACCACCAGACGAAAATTCTAAAACCATTGGAAACACAAAGAACAAATTCAGAATATTAATAATCTGATATAGGGTAAATATGACCCAAATATTAAGATTTAAAAGCTGGAAAGCTGATTTACTCAAATGTGTATATTAATTTTCTAGATAATTAAAATACAATCAGCCTCTGTATACATGTTCTGTGTTTATGGATTGAACAAACAGCAAATCAAAAATATTCATAAAACAACTATTTACACAGTATTTACATTGTAGTAGGCACAGGTGATCTAGAGATTAAATGACCGATATATGCAAATAGTGTACTGTTTTATATATAATAATATATAATAATAATTAATAATATATAAGAATATATATATAATCTGCAGATTTTGGTATAGGAAGTAGGTCTTAGAACTAATCTTGCACAGATACTTAGATACTATACTGCAAAGAAAAATACTATTTGTAAAATTCAATGTTTTCTGTAGAAAACATTAATTTATTAAATAGAAATTCCAAATGAGCTGAGGACATTCTTCAGAAAGTTCTTCCCTGCATACTAACTATAATCATATACAGTTCAGTATTGATCAATATTAATTTTCCCAAAGGTTAGGTGTTTTTCCAAATGAACCGAGCAAATATTATCTATCTAAACACTATCTGAGAATATGACTATAGTCACATACTCAATGTATTATGTTACAAACCATAAGTATCTATATCTAAAAGACTTAACTGCTGAAAACACTTACAGAATTCATCATAGCAAGCTGTGATGGGTAAGCTTTACAAGGAAATTTGATCTTCACTCCGCAAATTGTATATTCAGACCACATTGAGGACATCCTGCTTTCTTGTTTACTTTAGATTCCTAACTGCAACAGAAATGAAAATCAATATCGAAACAGTATCATTCTAAGAAAAACAGACACCCAACAGTAAAACAGAAGTCTAGAAATAAAAACTGGGATTAGTGGATTAGTAAGTGTATAAACAAAACAAAGGGAAGCAAAATAAATTTCCTATACTTATAAATAAATCAGTGGTCAAGAACATGTTTTAAGAGTGACAGGTCTGACATGGTGGCACATGCCTGTAATCCAAGTAATTCAGAAAGATGAGGCAGGAGGATTGGAAGCTCAAGGTCAGCAACTTATCAAGACCCTTAGTAACTTAGTGAGACTCTGTCTCAAAATAAAACAAAAGGGATGGGGATACAGCTCAGTGGTAGAGCACCCCTTGGTTCAATCCCCAGTATCACCTAAAAAAGAAAAAAGTCTGACAAATCTGGATTTGTATCTCTACCCTACCATGTATTCATTGTGTGACTGTGGGGTTTACTTTTCTAGACTTTGATATCCTCATCCATAAAATAAAGATAGTAACAATATCTAACCCATAATACATAACTTAATAACTGTTATTCTTATTTTGGTTATATTGTTATGATCAATCTACCAATAGGTTCCTAAGGCAACTTTCTCCAATTCCATAGCACCACTCTTTTTCTCCTGTTCTATTCCTGTTTCCTCTTCCTGAAGTTCTCCAATTAGAAGGGAAAAGCTGTGGACCAGGTTTCAAGAAGCATAGATTCTAGATGAGGTCCTGAAAGTTCTCAGATAAATTATCTTTAACATGTCTTTTCACTTCTCTGGTCTAAGATCCATGTCTGCAATAATCCCTAATTTAAAAATTGTTGCCAGGGAGAAAGTACCTTCAGACATAGTAGGTACTCAATAATTCTTATTAAAAGGTCAGTAAACTATAATGGAAAGAAGATGGGCCTTGGAGTAAGGTAAATCCAAGTTTGAATTCCAGTATGTGAATCACTTAACCTCTTTCTCAAACCTTGTTTGTGAAAATTATCCAAGACAGAATGTTCATAACCCAGTATCTGACAGAGATATGATTTACTTTAATCCTCATCTCTTTTAAACCACTTTCTTAACCGAGAATCCATAGATGTTATTCTGAGAATGTAACCTCTTAAAATTGCATGCAGAAATTCCTCTGCATGATTGCATTTTTCTGAAGAGAAAATTCATAGATCTCTCTTCCAATTCATATATCCTACAGAAACCAAAAAAGGGGAAAATTATATACATTTACACACACACACACACACACACACACACACACACACTTTTATCAATTAAGAAATTTTTGCAATCGTGAAAAAAGTGTTAAATTCAACCTGGGGATAGAGATAGTTAAAATAGCTATTATGAAGCCAAAAACAGCCTTCACCAGTTTGTGTTTCAAAAGAAGTTAAGAATCACTGCATTTTCCAGTTCTAAAAAGGATTCTGTGATTCCATTTGTGAAGCTCTGAGAATGAGGTTTAGTGCAATCGAACATCAATCTAAATCAAGACTCAGGCCTATTCAATCACATCCCTGGCCTGGCGGTGGAAACGTTCGTCTCATGAAGAAGCAGCTTCCCCTACCGACAGCATAAAGGACAAACAAACCGTTCAGCCTCCCGCCAAGAGGCAAAGACGGCCCAGGGCTCACGTCATGCCTGTGCTCAAAGGAGGTAAGGATGGGTTCCCTTCCCCTTACCTCCCGCGGTCAACTGAGGTCCCGCGGCCTAGGTGATCTGGTCCACCCAGGAGAGCGGGAGAGGCTGCCAAGACCTTGGCAGAGGAACCCTGCTTGGCGCCCTTCCCCCAGACGTCCCGTAGACATGCCTGTGCTGAGGGGAAACAGAAGCAACCCGGACTGGGCTCCAACTCATGGCGGGGAGGATAACATCTTTGAGAGCAAATAATGCAGACCTCCTAGCAGAGGAAAAATGGCGCAAGCCTTAATTCTCTCTTTTCCTCGCAGACTACTACTCCCTGGTGTGTCGCGAGTTCCAGTCGCTTTACCTTTTCCCGACTCCAGTTCTCAGTCCTCTCAGCACAACTCCGAATGAGTTCCCGCTTCCCACCCCCTTGACTCCCAACACCCAATCGCCGAGAGACCTCACACAACCAATCACCCGCCAAGACCGGAAAGCAAGTAGCCAATCCCAGCGAGGGGTTAGGGGGCGAAAACTCTAGCACCCAATGGAAACCTCCGAAATAAGAACCGACCCAATGGTCTTGGAGGCGCCAGAAAGCAGCCACCGTAGAGGGAAGAGTGCACTGGAGTAAACCCCAGGGGTTTCTGTAAAGAAAAATCGCCTTCTCGGCTCATCTTTTCAAATTGATAGGGGTTAGCCGTGCAGCCAATTCCCTGGAAACTAACGCTCATTTTGAAGGTCCGTAAACCAAAGAAAGGATACATCTTTCTAAGCCTTGCCAAGCTCTTCTCTGGTGCCGCTCAATTTGAATCTCCCAACTTTACAGGAGCCATAGTATTTAAAAAAAAAAAAAGAAAGAAAAGAAAGAAAGAAAAAGAAAAAAAAAAAACAGAATTGCTAGACTATTGAACCAAACTAGGCGAAAAGATTCTGACAATTGGCAGTTTCAAAATCAAGGCTTTCCCGGATGATAGAATCTGCCAGTGATAATGCTCTCCAAAGTCTCCAGCAACAGATAAATCACTTCTTACTTTAACGCTTATTTGCTTTCCATCCTTCCTAAAACCAGTGAATTCTTCTTTGCCATGTACAATTCAGTTTCGTCGAGGTAGGGGGTTAGGCTTGATCTCACCAAATTTACTTAATTGTTCTTTGTTTAAATTCTGTATGACCAACAGGGTGCTTACCTGTAACCCCAGCTACTTAAAAGATTGAGGTAGGAGGATCTCAAAGTTTCCTGTCTCAAAAGTCTGGAGGCATAACTCAGTGGTAGAGCACCCCTGGGTTCGACTCCCAGTACTGGGGGGAAAAAAATCTGTGTAACCTACACTTACTCAAATACTATTATCCCAAAAAGGCAAAATCTGAGAGGGTTTCTTAAATTCATATGACTAGTTTGGGGAGGGAGGTTTGCTGGGAGTAGGGAGCAGAAGACATTCACAGTTCAGTTTTACTGCATATCCTCAAAATAACAAAACTTGTCATATAAATAAATTATGCCGGTTGACCTAGTAATCTCAGACCCAGAAATGTGTCCCAAAGACATAATGTAAAAGAAAAAAAGGTGGTAATACCTCAATTTGTAATACTATTTACCTATTTTTATACTGCCAAAAAAATTAGATTTCCCATTCTAGGAGATAGTTATATCAATTAAATAAATTATGAAGCCAATAAAATTATTTTAAAAATTAAACTACTTGCAAGAAAAAATATCCTGTAAAGTGAAAAAATCAGACTCCATGTTGAATGTTAAGAATTTAGTAATGTGAAAATACATATGGATAACAAAGGAGTAATTTACTATTACAAAGGGATGAAGAATAATTTATCTTAAAAAATCCTTAAAAGAAACTGCAGATGGTTATTTTCCACTTACCATTTTTAAAAAGATCAAATTATTGAAGTAACTGCTCCAGGGTTAACTATCATATTCCTGACTTAAATTCCAAAGGCTTTCAATTAACTCTAACCTCTTATTGCCATTTAATGTGTGGGGCATAACAGAAAGTGATATACCTAAGTTCTGGAACCAGGCAATCCTGGACTTCAATACCTTCAGCTGTTCCTTTCAACTATTATGTTACAACTATTATGGAATGAAACACCAAAAACTAAGTTCATTTGATAAAGAATATGAATGTTTATAAATCAATATCCAAAATAGCTGCACACATCTGTTTTCACTTGAATAAAAAAAATCATTGTGACAAATTTTATAACCTTAACTTAAAATACATGAATATTAACATTTACTAATATATTTACACATTTATTTACATCATCATCAACAAAGCTGATGAAAAACAGCATGTTATTATTTTAACACAGCAGGTTTTGACCAATCTTTGAAAAATCAATCCAGAAAATGTGCACTGCATTTAGTTAGAAAACATACTTCAACCTTTTCTGAAGTCCTAAGAGGTACCTATTCACACAAAATATTCCAAGGCCTCAGTTTAAAAATAAAACAGGAGCAGCTGTATTTAATCTTATGAGACTACAAAACTGCCTTGTTTAAAAATATGAAAATTCTTGTGGTATTTTTTCATCATACTCTTTTATTCTTCACATCAAAATTACTTAATTACATTAAGCATCTAATAAAAAGTTACAAATATTCTATCACGCATGATACTATACACTCCATGATTGGAAACAGCTACAAACTAGTTTTTATAGAATATCATTATGAGGTAGGGCCAGTAGTAACCCCATTTTACAAAGAAGGAAAATGAGATGTGACTATTTGCTAGTGAAAAGGTTTGAAGTTAAATTTCTTTCCTTAAAAAACACTTTATTAGCTTGCTTAACTTCTTTACCAGTGAAAAGGCTTGTTTCAAGCCAGGGCAGGGTGGGTTGGGGTGGGGGACAATTGAGGTATATCCCAGAGAGCAAAGAGAAGTACCTTCTACAATGGACACTTAATTTTTTTTTTAAAGAAAAATGTGGATTATGGTTTTCTTAATGCACCTACCTAATCAATGGGAGTTACTAACAGAGAACTGCAAAATCCTTCAGCAAGACAGTATTTGCCACATTTTAATTTTTCCTGAGGTTTAAACACTGTATAATATTTTCTCAAAGATCTCAAAGGAAAATGTGAATCATAATCCTGATGATAAACCAAGAGCTCTTTAATCCAGTAGGTTTTATTGCTCTAAGTTTCTTTTAATTTGATATATATTCCCATCTCTGAGAATTAGATAAGTTAATAAAGCATTATAAAAATAAATGTAAAAAATAAAATAAATGAGACTTCCTTTCAGGTTCTTCTCCGCACAGAGATGTTTCTGTAAACACTTTTAAACTAGTATCTTCAAATTCCAAATTATTCAAGTATCTCTTCAAACATATGGCTTCATACATTAGTAAAAATTAAAGCAAATATTTGAAATCTTTAAATCATCACCTGTAATTTTATGGAAATCACTTACAGAAGCTACTTGCCTTTTTTTTAAAGCCTTAATACTGTTTCTTGAGAACTAGAATATCAATCTGCATTACTATTACTTGTATTACAAGTCTTGGGATTTCTATTTGGATATTTAACTCCTAATTTTTCCTGAATTCTCCCTTTGCTTAATCCCTTTTTCACCCTCCCATTCTTTGATCTTTGTCATACTGTTACAAGCCCGCGGGTAAAACACTAGGGCTACCCACACACTCATTTTTATGAGAAACATTAAATTAAAGGCATGGCAGTCTTTCTTTGCTTCAAAAGCTAAGTACAAGGCCAAATTCCCATTCCAGTAATGAGTTTCTTAAATGTGTTCCCAATGGTAAAAAAGCTCAGCTACAACATAAACATACCAGCAAAGTAGATCCAAAGACGTGCCAATCAAATACAAGCAAGCATAATTCTCAAGAGAGTTCTAAATTGTATTCATGTTGAACTGAATCAATTCAGCAATTCCAAGACATTACTGCTCCCGCTCAGTTTAGAGCTGCTATAAGATGCAGATTCATGATGGATATATGCAGTGAACAGCTTCGTTTTTTTGTTTTTTGTTTCAAATTTTTTTTTAAATTCCACTAACACTCATGTTTATTATTTCAATTATTGTACTCTCAATACAATGACAGAGCTGTACATCAGGATCCATGCTTCCGGTGTCCCTGGATCCATTTTTGTAAGATGAATCTTTACAGATTCGAGACCATCCACTTGGTTTCTCCTTTATTTGTTGAAGACCTAAAACGCATAAAGAACGAAAAACAAATTAAGCCAAGAAATCTGGAAAGTAATCTGCCTTCTCATTTAAAATACTTAGATGACTTCTGAACGTGAGTTATCACTTACGTGTAATGATTGGGTCAATGTCTCTTGTCTGAGTGGCAACATCAGAGGCACAAACTTGTCCTATTTGAATCAGCAAAGACATAATATCCTCATACAGTGGAGGAAATGCTCGACAAAAAGACACTAAACTTGGAAGAGTTGGCATGAAAAAAGCATACCGTTTAGCCTGTGTTAAAACTGTTGGAAAGAAATCAAATAGAATTTTTTTTACTTTGCAAATATAAATTCTACATACACAGCTTATACAACAAACTAAGGCCCCTATTCTATACTAGAGATACTGTTAGAGCTCACAATCTAGTCAAACATCCAAGATATAAATATTTATTGTGCCCAAGCACTATGATAAGTGCACTGCCTGCATTCTTTTAATTTTCACAATTTTATGAATGAGGAAAGTACTATTATGACATCCATTTTACATATGAGAAAATTTAAATAAACCTTAGTTAAAAAAAAAAAAAAAAAACTTGTTCCAAGTCACACAGCCATTTAGTGGTGAAACTGGGATTGAATTCAGGTAATATAAACTCTGAACCATTACAAATAATTATGAGGCAAATAAAATGAAAAGAAAAATGAACAGAGTAGCCTGGGGAACACAGAGAAAGAACACTAAATTAACTAAATCTAATTAATTAAATAACTTTAAAGGATTGAATTATTGTTCATATATATGTTTTGAAAATTTTTTTAGTAGTAGACGAACACATACTTTTATTTATTTATTTTTATGTGGTACTGAGGATTGAACCCAGTGCCTCACACATGCTAAGCACAGCCGAGTCCACATATTTTAAAGTAGTTTATTTTCATACTATTTTACTCTACAAACCCGAAAGTGGTAAAAATGTTAGGATATGTTTTAAAACTTAAGAAAGCAAATAATATATTTATATGTTCTTTTTTTTTTTTTAAAGAGAGAGAGAGAGAGAGAACTTTAGTATTTATTTTTTAGTTTTCGGCGGACACATCTTTGTTTGTATGTGGTGCTGAGGATCGAACCCAGGCTGCACGCATGCCAGGCGAGCGCGCTACCGCTTGAGCTACATCCCCAGCCCCTTTATATGTTCTTTATACATATGATTATATTTTTCTGGAACTCCTGAGCATGTGTAATAAATCATAGCTTGTTTTCTAC